CCATTCCGTTGGTTGCCTTTTAGTTTTGTTGGTTGTTTCCTTTGCTGTGCAGAAGCTTTTATCTTCATAAGGTCCCAGTAATTCACTTTTGCTTTTAATTCCCTTGCCTTTGGGGATGTGTCGAGTAAGAGGTTGCTACGGCTGAGGTCAGAGAGGTCTTTTCCTGCTTTCTCCTCTAAGGTTTTGATGGTTTCCTGTCTCACATTCAGGTCCTTTATCCATTTTGAGTTTATTTTTGTGAATGGTGTGAGAAAGTGGTCTAGTTTCAACCTTCTGCATGTTGCTGTCCAGTTCTCCCAGCACCATTTGTTAAAGAGACTGTTTTTTCCATTGGATGTTCTTTCCTGCTTTGTCAAAGATGAGTTGGCCATACGTTTGTGGGTCTAGTTCTGGGGTTTCTATTCTATTCCATTGGTCTATGTGTCTGTTTTTGTGCCATGAAATTTATTTTAAATTAAAGCCAGAATACACTATTTTTAACTTCCAACTTAATATCAATATTTTTCTGAAATTATAGAGACTTGAGAAATGTACAAAAACTAATTCATAATAAACTAAGTTGTAGTTTTCTGTCTCCATCAAAATGGCATTTTAAAAACCTTAACTAATTAATTCAAGCACATATTTATACTCTTAAGTTAGTATTTTTAGAGAAACCTAGCATTTGACAGATTGAGGTACTACTAGCTACCCAGATAAAGAACTCTGTGTTATGATTTTTTTTGGATATGACAAAATGAAAGCAAAATACAGTTATTATCATATTATCAATATGTATTAATATGCTAGTAATTTAAAAATTAACATCATTAAAAAGCAACAGCCTCCTTAAATCACAACACAAGAACAACAGACTATTTTTATCTTCGCTGGAAATTTAACAAATTAGAAAAAGCAAAATGAAATTTACTTAAAACATTTCTCTGGCTTTTTGGTGAAAAAACTAACAAACTTAAGAACACACATAAATGTAATGACACTATGTTACTGACCTAACATTAGAGGACGCAAATTTTCCCCAGCCCTTCCATTTTAAATGTGCCATTCTATCAACATTCCTTTAATTTAAATTATTTCACACCAGATTTTCTCAAAGCTGCTTTATTTAACATAGATTTATTAAGGGCCTAGTCTCGGGTACTATAAATACTATAATTCTACTTCCCTTACTCAGATCTTTGTCCAGAAAATCTCTAAGTCAGTTCTAGTTTGCTTTGTAACAAAGCAAAAGGTGTATCCAGGATCCTTCTGAATAAAGATTAGATGCTATGATATTAAACTCTTAGGTCCATAATATCATACTAGGTAAACATTTGAGAAAAGTAGAGAGGTCTTTGAGGAAGGAGGTGAAGACTGAAACAAAACAATCTTATTTTTCTTAATTCAGTATTCTTAAAATGACAAAAGAGCACAGCAAATCCACACACAGCAGTTAAACACTACATCAACAGGTAAGTAATACAAGAGTACAAAAAAGAAAAGTAGCGCACTGGAAAAACTCAATTACGAATGATAGCTTTAGAAATTGAGGTTTTAAAAGTGATTTACAAAAACGGGAACAACACATGCACATAATTAAGAAGGAAATATAGGGGTGCCGGGGTGGCTTAGTCGGTTAAGCGTCTGATCCGACTCTTTCTGATTTCAGCTCAGGTCTCGATCTCACCGTATGTGAGATCAAGCCCCATGTCTGGGTCTGCACTTGGAGGTGGAGCCTGTTTAAGATTCTCTTTCTTTCTCAAAACAAATAAAAACAAAACAAGGAAATATAATGTAAAATCCTAGAAGCATCTCCATCTCAACTTGCATTATTGGCAACTTTGATCCTACTTAGACACCTCAAAAGTCTAAGACAAAATTTTATGTTTTCACTTTCAAGTCTTTTCATTTAAGATCCAGCTTCTTTCTTCAAGGATAAACTAAAAACAATACCCCTCAAATTTCTTCCTGTGTACTTCTAAAAATTCCTTTGTATTTGACTCCCTTTTACCATTTCTTCTCATGTCACAGAGGAAAAATGCCCATCTTTTGTGTGCTTGGTCCCATGCCCTCCAGTATGAAGATGATATTAAATTTCACTTAGCTACATATCTAAAACAGCTTTTCCATGCACTAATCTTTGATTATAAGAAGGTTCATTCACATAAACGTGAATGCATACTACTTTTGTAACATGCAAAAACTACAGTCTGTTTATAGTTTGTGAGGTCTCAAAAGTGTTAATCATGAGTCTTAAGAAGAAAGTAGGTAAGAATTATATTTTAAAATACATTAGAGCCCAATTTCAAGTTAAATAGGGCGATAAAATAATGAGTTAAAAGTATGATATCAGATAAACCATATTAATTGTAAGCTTAGCTAGTTGAGTAAACAATTTACATCTTTGTTTTCAAGTTTTATTTATTTTTGAGAGACAGAAAAAGGATGGAGGAGGGGCAGAGAGAGAGACGGACAGAGGATCCCAAGTGGGCCCCCCCTGCTGACAGCTGAGAGCCCAAAGCAGGACTCACAAGCCGTGAGATGATGATCTTAGCGGAAGTCAGACGCTTAACCGACTGAGCCACTCAGGAGCCCCTACATCTTTTTTTTTTTTTTTAAGTAGGCTTCACGCCCAGCAGAGAGCCCAACATGGGGCTTGAACTCACATCCTGAGATCAAAAGTCAGATGCTTAATTGACTAAGCCACGCAGGTGCCCCAATTTACATCATATTTGAATCTTTTAGCAGTTAGGTTTTGAACTAATGAGTCATCAATGCCAGTATCCCATCTGTAAAATACTTAAACCTTTTTGAATTTAATATAGTTAATTTCCATTTTAATTTATACTCACAACCATCACTACAAGCTCCAATCATTCGTGCGCTGAACAATGACTCAGTTAATACATAATGTCTTCTAGGAATCAAAACGAGATATGCTCTTTGTCCTCAAAGACGTACATTCATGGGGGGAAGGTTACAAGTACATGTGCACGTGCATATTAGTTGGTCAGGTAAAATGGGAGTAAAATGTATATATAAAAAAAGAATTATGTGGTAAATTTCATAACAGATACAAATAAGATGCCAAAGAAGAGGTAACAATTAACTCTTGACAATTCAATCACAATAGAAGTCGGCAACATTTTCTATAAAGGATCAGAAAGTAAGTAATTTATGCTTTGTATACAGTCTCTGTCACAGCTACCTGACTCTAACATTAGAGAGCAAAAGAAGCCATAAGCAGTTCATAAATGAATGTGTTTCCAGTGAAACTTTACTGACAAAAATAAACAGTGGGCCAGATTTAACAAGACTGTATTTTGCCAATGCTTACACTGTAAGAATGTAGCAATGAATTCAGTGAGTTTTAAGGTACTCCTAAATGGACATAGACTACAGGGCACTTTGAGTCTGTAGATCTGTTTTAGTTTTATCTTATTTACTCTTGGATGGCCATCTCTTCTGATGTTAGCTTACCAGTAGGGGGCCCTCCATCCCACTTCTAATTTACAATAGACTACAAAACCAGACAAATTCTTAGAAATTATAGTTACTCGACTTCACATGAAGACCCTATCGATCTCACTAACGAGTCCTATATATGAAAGCTCTAGTATATGAACTGGGACCTATATTGGGGACTCAGGTGGGCCTTATATACATATTATTTTCATATTTTAACACAAGACAGAGTTCCAGAAAGCTATGAAATCACTACAAAATACCAACAGCTGCAAAAGTTTTATATTCAACACGACTAATTAAAATATGACCACAAATTTCAGCCTTTTAAAATAATTTTCACTCATATTTTACGTATTACAAAGTTAACATTTCTCTAAGGATGTAAGAATTCAAAATTTTTGGGTGCCTGGCTGGCTCAGTTAGTAGGGCATGTGACTTCTGCTCTAGGGGGTTGTAAATTCAAGCCTCTCATCGGGTGTAGAGATTACTTAAAAATCTTCAAAAATAAAATCTTTAAGAATTACTTAAAAATTCTTATTTTAGAAAGGATAACACCTTTACTTACTTTGGCAACATTTTCAACTGGTTTTCTCTAAGTTCTAATATCTGGAGTTTAGTTAATCTGCAAAACAAAACAACAAATCAATAATCTATGACAAAGACAATGAATTTAATTATGATGTAATGTCACGCCCTACAGTTTCAAAGCAACCAATATTTATTGTGTAATTATAAAGTAAGAAAAGACGATTTCTGCTCCTCAGAATTAGTGGGGGAGGGGGAGAGTTAAACACTTCTACATACTTAAAGCACATAATGTACTTAAATATAAATCCTACAGCATTTTCTGTGAAAATGCCTTCCCAAATTATTAGCTGGTAGTAGATTAGAGAACAATAATTCATCTCCAGAGTCTGGCTCTGAGAGAAAAAAGAATAAAAGAATGTAAGGTGATATAAAAAAGGGGAAATCCTCTGGCTGTTCAGTGATGCACATTCCAATAAAATTAGAGGGAAAATGAGCAGATTAGGCAGTCCAGACATGCTAGCTAATACCACAATGTTAATCATATTACAAAACATAAATGTATCAAATCAACATATTTGTTTATATTTGTATACCTTAACACATTGTATACCTTTGTATACACTGCATGCCTTTGTATACCTTAACACATTTGTATACCTTAAACTTATACTATGTGTCAAAAATATTTTTTTAAAAAGTGGTCCAAAAGCCAGACACAGAAAAGGAATCTATCAAGCACACTAATTTTTATATATTTACATATATAATGTATACGCATATTACATATATACATACATATAGCTGTTTGTATATAAATATATGTAGCATGATAACATAGCTCCTACAAAACAGTCACTGGACCACAATGCCCAGAATTCATTTTTTCTTACTTGAAATATAGTTGACATATGACATTATTAGTTTCAGGTATACAACATAATGATGTGATATTTGTATATAGTGTGAAATGATCACCAAAGTAAGTATAGTTAACATCGATCACCATAGTTACAAATTTTTTTTTCTTATGATGAGAACTTCTGAGATCTATTCTCTTAGTAACTTCCAAATATGTAATTCAGTACTGTTAACTATAGCCACCATGCTGTACATATATACTCGTAATTTATTTATTTTATAACTGGTACTTTTTGACCACCTTTACCAATTTTGCCCACTCTCACCTAATGGCAACCACCAATCTGTTCTCTCTGCATCTAAGAAGCTCAACTTTTGTTTTGTTTTTTTTTAAGATTCCACACATAAGTGAGATCATACAGTACTGTCTTTATTTACAGACTAAAAGATAAAATTAACGTGCCACTGAACAGCACTTTCTCTAGTAATTAGTTTAAAAACAGTAATAATTCTGGGGCTCTTGGGTGGCTTGGCTGGTGAAGCATCCGACTCTGGATTTTGACTCAGGTCATGATCTCATGGTTCGTGAAATTGAGTCCTGCATCAGGCTCTGAGCTGACACCACGACAGCCTGCTTGGGATTCCCTCCCCCTCTCTCTCTGCCCTCCCATGCTCACATGTTCTCTCTTTCAATAAATAAATAGACATTAAAAAAATAAAAATAAAAACAGTAATAATTTGATACCTATTATTCATTCATTCACTGATTTGTCTTTTCATTAAGAAAAATTACTCAGACACTATAATGACAAGAAGAACTGCATGTTCAGATATTGGTAGAGGTGTGTAATGGGGTAGACCCCGGAAACACACTTTCTTTTCTCCAGAACTCTGAGTCCAATGGAGAAAACATATAAATCAATAATTCAGATCATTTTCAGATGTGATAAATGCTAAGAATAAAGCATTCTGTATCTCAAATATACAGAAATTACCCACATTTAAACCATTTTTGCATATTTTAAATAAATACCAATTCAAGTCTTACATTGCCTTTTCTTCTCAATATTCACTGCTTATAATTTACTTGGGAAAATAAATTCAAAGACAAAATAACAAGTTCTGAAAAAACTATAAAAACCACAATGCTTGAAAATAATTACAAAAGAAGAGCCTATGAAAGTGTAATTAATAGTATAACTGAAGCAACTTGTTTTGTAAACTTTGTAGGAGTTAACAAGAAAAGGTTTCAGAAGAAACTGTAATTTACCTGCCGAAATTAGCTGGCAAGAACTCAAGGAAAGCATCATTTAGATATAGCTGGGTTAGGTTTAACAGCTGAGAAAATCCATCAGGAAGCCTATATAAAATATATCAGAATTTAAGTTAAATTAATACACAGAATTTCAGTCTCTTACTGAATCTCTCTAAGAATGTGTCTACCCAGCACATGCTCTTAACAGATAACAGGCACCTTTTTACTTTTATGAGGGATCCTCAAACATTTCCCTTTTGTAATAATTTGTCTGTTTCAATGTTTATAATTTCATCTCTTTGTAAAAAGGAAATGAAACAGTATTTGTCTCAAGAAGATAAAATGTGCATTAAAAGATCAAGTCTGAATGAGCCAAAATACAGAGAAATGTATTTAGTACATAACTATGACATCAGCAGACACTACTGAAATCTGCCTTATCTAACATCAGTCCAAAGGATTAGATAAGGAATTCCAAACCTTGACAGTTTTGACTTTTGGGGCTGGATAATTCTTTGTAGTGGGGAGGCTGTCTTCTGCACTGTAGTATGTTTAGCAGCAACCCTGGCCTTCAGCCATTAGAAGCCAGGAGCACCACCTACCCCCCACATGTTGGAAAAACCAAAATTGTCTCCAGAATTTGCTAAATGATCCTTAGGGGCAAAATCATTCCCATTTGAGAACCACTAGTTGAGATTATTTTCAATTTCAACATCAGGCCCTTAAACAATCACAAAAAGACTGCATAATTTTATAATAAGCAAATGAAAAGAAATAATTTAAAAAAGCTAAATAAAATCTTAAGGCCATCTGAGAATCTATGTATGTATTAACTTTACCTTTGTTTCCTCTGGTTTGCAAAACAAACTACAGATCTATAACTGGATGCTAGAGGAATATTTTCAGCTAAAGATGAAACATCATCTGTACATGTTTTTCCTGGATTTTAACAAGTACAAAATTCTCTTGCAGTGAGACATCCCAGAGTCTTTGACTGATCTTGTTTCTCTCCTACATCACACTCCTTCATCTACCACAGCAAATGAAGCATCACTGTTCAGAAAAACTCATTAAATACAGTACTGTAATACATGAAAGTTGGTTTTAGTGTTCGACTTAGCTATATTAAGCTATGCTCTATTCATATTTTGTTTCACCATTCCATTTTTGCAAAATTTAACAGTTTTGGTGTCAGGAAAGCGTTCTATTTATAGCCACTACCATCATAAAAGAATATTTATGACCTCTGGTATACGGTGTAACCAATCACATGGTTTTGTTGTTGTTTTTACCTTCTTGATCTTTCACTGTCTTTTATTATTTTCAAAAGTTTTAATGTGCTGCACAGCTGATTTGCAAGTGAAGATACTCTTACATTGTGCAAATATCACTGAACAAGGAGACCTGGATTCTAGCCTCGTTTCTGATACAAACTATCTGCGAGACCTGGAACAAAACACCTGCGTTATCTGTTTGGATGTCTAATTTACTTTTGTAAAATATGGGTTGAGAAAAAATACTTAAGAGGTTTCTTTTTAATCTAACATTAAAATTTTGTACAGATTTAAGGCTGATATCAATTAATCATTAAAATATAGAAAGCAATTTTCTACTACTATCTCAGAGATGTTTTATTCACAAAAGTAACTTATAACTCAACTGAGAACTTACTTGGAAATAGGGTTTACACTGGCCTCCACAATTGTCAAAACTTTACAATTTTTTATATTTTCTGGAAATTCCTGTATTCCTAGAAAATGAACAGATAATCAATAATCAAATTAAAAGGATCTTTTATAAAAGATAAAATAATAACATAAAATTACCATATACCTTGCAGATTCAAAATTTACCAACTAAGTAGGATCTAGATAAATTGACACCAACATCAATCTAACAGAACTACCTCTACAACGATTTCTCTCTTTTCTCTTCATCTTTTTTCATGTGCCTCTTTATAACTGTCAATTACTAATTTTACCTGCCTTTTTTTCCTTAAGTTCTTCTGAAAATTAGTTAATACCTTCTCTATTTGATGATGTGAAGGATACAAAATGCAGAACACTTAGCAATCTACCCATTTTTCTGCTGTACAAAGATGAATTACTTCTTTTAATGCTGGGCTCCAAATTAAGGTGGCCCCTAACATATGTATATATGTAAGGACAAAACTGAAAACAAAGCTGAAGATAGAAGAGGTTAAAAAAGAAAAAAATCTATGTTTGATATGACAGCAGATATGCCAGAAGGCAGCTGCTGAGCAAAATTTCTGTAAAATACCATACAAATGTGACAAGCCAAATTACAGTAAGCTTTCTAAGCACTTACTCTTATTTTCACAAACTATCTCTGCAAAAATATATTAATAATTTGTGAATAACCCACAAACTTTAAGTAGCAATGTTGTAATCCAAACTAAAAGAATGTGAAATCTTTTTCAAATATTCCAAAAACTCTGTTTGTAAGATTCATTCCTGTAATGACACAGTATGATTATTCCACATGGTTGACACTAAAAGATCATTTAAACTTCCTTCAACTTCATCACTGTATCATTCTTTTTTTAAAAAATTTTTTAATGTTTATTTGTTTTGGAGAGAGAGACAGAGTGCGAGCAGGGTAGGAACACAGAGAAAAGGAGGCACAGAATCCGAAGCAAGCTGCAGGCTCTGAGCTGGCAACACAGAGACTGACACAGGGCTCGAACCCATGAACTGTGAGATCGTGACCGGAGCCAAAGTCAGATGCTTAACCAACTGAGCCACCCACACATCCTCGTCACTATATCATTCTAAGTAAGCAAGTTTACCACTGTGCCAAACACAGGATTTCAGGTGATGAAATATGAATGGCACAAAAACACCAACTGGCAAATAGTGCAGTAGTAACTGTCCAGTCAAAATTCATATAATATTAGTGGGTAAAATATTGATGAAAAATTGGATATTAATATAGTCTCAAAGTTTCTCCAAAAAAGATACTTACTAATCATAAAAGGAATAGAGCAATTATAGTGAAGAAATCTCACAGGCACCGTCCTAAACTGCTTCAAAGTTAGCATCACTAGTTACCAGCATCATCATGTAGCACCTAATCTAAGATGCACTGAGAAGATGCAATATCATTACTCTCATATTCTTGCCAAAAATATGTAACATGAAGTTAATCATAAGCAAACATCAAACAAATCCAAATTTAGGGAATTTCCACTGTGGAACTGGCAACTAACTTTAAAACTATCAAGGTCAAAAAAGACAAAAGAAGATTGAGAGCTACTCAGGTAAGAGACCCAAGAGTACAACAGGGAGACTGTATCAATGTCAGTATCTATCTTGTTCTAGAATATTACAAAAAGTTACCATTGGGGAAACTAGGTAACAAGTACATAGGATTACTCTATAATTCTTAGAACTGTACATGCATTTACAATTATCTCAATAAAAATTTCAATTAAAGAAATCTGGGCTCAATGATTCCTACGGGAAGGTTTTAGTACCATTGTTTTTATTACAAATTCAATTTCTCTAACAGTCAAAATAATTCATTTTCTCAATTTCAGTTTTAGGAACTTTTGCTGAAATTTATAGAGTTCATGTAAATCTCCAAATCAGCAAATATAAGCAATGATGGATATATTATGATATTAAGGAATTACTGTTAGCTGGGTTTAAGTATGGCAATAGAGTGATTTCATCTTGACACACTTATGTATGAAAAAGGTTATCCACGATTTGCTTTCAAACAATCAGAGATGGCAAAATAGGAGGTATGGATGGAGGGAGAGTAGGAGGTATTTAAGATACTGATAATGCTGAAATTGATAGGTATACAGGCTTATTCTATTATTCTACTTTTGTGAATGCTTGAAATGTTTCACTATAAAAGATTACGACTGCTCAGTTACTAAAAACAGACTCAGACACAAAAGGACTTCAAAACAGTTACTATTCTTAAAGGGGGAAAAATGGAACATTATCTATTTTTTATTTTTAATCTTTATTTATTTTTGAGAGAGAGAGAGACAGAGAGTGAGTGGTGGAGGGGCAGAGAGACAGAGAGGGAGACACAGAATCAGAAGCTGGCTCCAGGCCCCAAGCTGTCAGCACGGAGCCCGACGTGGTGGGGCTTGAACTCGTGAACTGCGAGATCATGACCTGAACTAAAGTCAGACGCTTAACCAACCGAACCACGCAGGTGCCCCAAAATGGTACATTTAAGAAATAAACAGAAACTTCACAAATGAAAAATAAACTATCTAAATGAAAAATCCACAGGACAGGATTAAAAGAAGATTACACAGGGCGCCTGGTTGGCTCAATTAAGCAGTTAAGCATCTGACTTCAGCTCAGGTCACGATCTCGAGGTTTGTTGGTTCGAGCCCCATGTTGGGCTCTGTGCTCATAACTCGGAGCCCAGAGCCTGCTTCAGATTCTTCTGTCCCCCATCTCCCACCCTCCCTCTCACGCTCTCTCAAAAATAAACATATTTTAAAAAAGAAAAAAAGACTAGACACTGTAGGAGAAAATTTCAGTGAGCCAGAAGTCATGGCAACAAAAATTAGCCAATCTGAAACACGGGAGAAAAAAAAGAATGAAAAAAAAAAATCAACAAAACTGAGAATACACAGACAATTTCAAACAGGCTAACATGTATTTATCTATCTTTAGAAGTTTATTTACCAGCCTACCACTAAAAATACATGCTCTTTTTTTTCTGTTTTTAATATATTGTCAAATTGGCTAATGTAAAGTGAGCTCTTGGGTTTTGAAGGGACAATCTTTTCTTTCTCTTTCTTTACTACTTGAATTGGACATGGCAGTTATCAATGTCACCAGATACTTCCAAACTCCTCTCCAGGGTGGCAATGCCAAGTTTCATACCACAGCATCTATACATATTCTATTTTTGTTTTAAAGTTCATTAACTTATTTTTGAGAGAGAGAGAGAGAGAGAGAGAACACCTGTGCAAGCACAAGAGGGGAGCGGCAGAGAGAAAGAGAGGAAGAGAGAGAAGAACCCAAGCAGGCTCCATCCTACCATCGTGGAGCCTGAAGCGGGGCTCAAACTCACAAACTGCAAGATGATGACCCGAGCCAAAATCAAAAGAGTTGGGTGCTTACCAAATAAGCCACCCAGGTGCCCCTATTTATACATATTCTTGTTGACATCCACTATTATCTTTAAATGCCAATGTAAGGGGTTGAACCTCACCAGCAATAATATAAATTTAAATTTAAATTAAAGCTAGGTATGTTCTTGATATTTTCTAGTGATACTGAATATACTTTCTAGGTATTTTTTTTTTTTTTAATTTTTTTTCAACATTTTTTATTTATTTTTGGGACAGAGAGAGACAGAGCATGAACGGGGGAGGGGCAGAGAGAGGGAGACACAGAATCGGAAACAGGCTCCAGGCTCCGAGCCATCAGCCCAGAGCCTGACGCGGGGCTTGAACTCACGAACCGCGAGATCGTGACCTGGCTGAAGTCGGACGCTTAACCGACTGCGCCACCCAGGCGCCCCTGGTATTTTCTAATGATGCCCAATACCTTTTCATGTGTTTAGTGATCATTTTTTCTTTCTTCTTGAACACCTTGTCTACTACACATTTTTCTACTGGATTATATTTTCATTATTGACTGTAACCATTCTTTAGAAATATTAGTACAGCAAGTTTTTCTCACACATTGTCATGTGTTTTTATTTACCTGTTTTGTCATATTGAAATTTCATTCCCTTACTACTATGCTTCTTATATCTTGAACAAGTTATCTTTTCTATCTCGAAGTCATAAAAATACTCTCCTACATTTTCTGTTAATCGTAACTTGTTTCTTGTACTATTAGCCTTAATTCGTTTTGCAATTTATTTTAGCACATACTATGAAGAATACCTTTATTTGTTCTATTTCTCATATAAAAACATTGTTCCAGATGCACCTGGGTGGCTCAGTCATTTGAGCAACAGACTTTGGCTTGTGTCACGATTTCGTGGTTCTTGACTTGGAGCCCTGCATTGGGCTCACTGCTGGCAGCAAGGAGCTGGCTTCGGATGCTGAGTCCCCATCCCCCACTCACTCTCTCAAAAATAAACAAACATTCAAAACAAAACAAAACATTGTTCTAATGCTTACAAAATAGTTGTTTTCCTTATTCCATTGATTTCTAGAGGCACCTCTGTCATATTCCAAATTCTCTCATGGTTATGTTTCTAGACAATCTTCTTTTAGATCCTTCTACTGATCTATTCCATAGTTTTATGCTTTTCTTCCATTTAGATTGTACAGCCCATCTTCTGTAAAGTTCATTTCTAGATATGTGTGATAGATTGATTGCATTGATGGATTTTGCTCCCTATCTCACTCTCTACAATGTGGTGTTTCAACTTTTTCCATCAAAATATTAAGTATAATTTCCCTATTCCTGATTCTGGGCTCAGCCATGTGTTCATAAAACATTAACAGAGTGGATGAAATCAAGGGTTTAAATAAGTTCTGGATAATTTCCACTACCTCTCAGACTCATCTTATTGCTCTGTGAGAACACGGCTGGGATCACTTGGGCTAGCCTGATGGAGGATGAGATCTATGGCAGAGTGATTCCTGTCATCCCAGCATAGGATTTCCAGCATTGCAATGTAAATGGTCCATTTTTTTTTTAATACTTTTGTTATGTATGCATGTACGTTACATATGTAGGCTTCATGCCCAGCATGGAGCCCAATGTGGGGCTTGAACTCATAACCCCAAGA